TGGCCAGAACGGCGCGTGCCAGTCGTCGTGCAAGAAGACGCCGCTCCGCGTCGGCGCGTCCGTGAGCATCCAGGGCGAGGCCAAGCTCACGTCGGCACTCGACAAGCAACCCGTCGTCGTCGTCGTCGAGGCCGGCAACAACGTCTGGAAGAACTACAAGAGCGGCGTCGTCAAGTCGTGTCCTGGCGCGCAGTCGGACCACGCCGTCTTGGCCGTCGGCTACGACGCTGGCAGCTACAAGATCAAAAACTCGTGGGGCGCCAGCTGGGGCAACGGCGGGTACATTTCTCTGCAGCGCGGCGTCGGCGGCAAGGGCATGTGCAACGTCGCCGAGCACCCGTCGTACTCGCCGCTCAAGTAAGCATCGTCTCTGTGTCGTTGGACAAGTCGCAAGTGGCGGTCACTGTCGAGTGTGTGTGCGCGTTAATCCATCATCTATTAGTTGGATCCTGTGGACGTATTCGCACAATATTGTAATACTTGCACGACTGGGTCGATGAGTGGGAAGGGTGGATACAATGCATCTCACATGGAGCCTGAAGTGAAGATAGATGGAGCTCGCAAAGACGCAATGTAGCTTAGTTGGAGACGTGGTAGCAGCCGCACGCCAATTGAGTCAAGTGTCGATACATTGATACACTGCTACTTGAACACACAACACCGTCCAATTGAAAGGCTTAAATAATAGGGGAAACGATGAGACAGCAAATTTAGGCCGAGACGCGGCTGCGGCGGCCTGCGATGTTGCTCATGTTTTTGGATGCCGCTGGAACGTCAGCAGCACGGGCTTGGGTGCTTCGCGGAGGTACCGAAAGGCGGCGTCGTGGCCAATGTGGCGGATGTCCTGGTGGTTGACGCAGACCCACGCGTCGCCGAGGCCGACCTGGCGCATCGGGTGGTGGCGCTGGCGGTGCGCGGCGCCCGTCGTCTTGATCGACGTCACCTCGAGGTAGAAGCGGAGGCGCGGCTGGCGCATCGAGATGCCGAGGCTGTCGTCGTCGTCGGTCCACATGATGTGGTACCAGTACTTTTCATCGCTCGGGTTCCAGCTCCAGCGGTCCGCGGGCCCAAAGCTAAACTGCTTGCTCGGCTCGGGCGACAAGACGATCGACGAGTTGCGCCAAAAATCTGTGAGCGAGTCGCCCGTCGAGAGCCGGTCCGCGTTCTCGTGTTTGTTGTGCTCGGTGCGCTGGAACCGGAGGATCGTCGTGCTTGAGCCGCGCTGGTTGAGCTCCCACAGCGTATGCTGGAGCGACTTGTTGTACGTCGGAACGTCGCGCACGTGCGTGAGGTGGTCACCGTTGCGGACGCTGAGAATGCCGGGGATCTTGGCGTTGATGCGCGCGGTCGACCGCACGCGCGGGTACTTCTTGAGTAGATAGAGAATACAGAGTAAAAGCGAAGAGGCGACGAGCGACGGAAACGCGTTGCGCTGCCAGAGCACCTCGTACTCGTCAAACGTGAGCCCGTTGAGCGTCGTGCGCAGGAACGGCGGGTCGGCGCTGAGCCGCATGAGCCGCAGACGAACTGGTTTCGCCGTCGTCCCGAGCCGCTCAATGACCGGTTGGATCGTTGCATTGGAGAAGCGCTGGCCGTTGTTGGGCGGCGGCTCAATCGGGTATCCGTTCATGGCCACGAGCACGTCACCGCACGACACAAAGTGCAGGTCGGCGCATTGACTCAGCGTCGTGTGGATCCGGTCGACCTTGGGCCGGCCTGTCTCGTTGTCGACGGAAAAGTGGATCCCGAGCCGGCCGCACTCCCACACGATCTCGTACTCGATGATGGGACTCGTGATCGTGTCTTCGCTCTCGAGTTCGTCCAGCGACGACCGCGTCGACTCGGTCTTGGTGCCGTCGCACGTCCCGTCGTCGTCGACGGGCTCGCAGCGGCAGCAGCCGCGTCGGCTGGCTTGGCGAGGGCTTGGGCTTGGGCGCGCGCTTCGGCTTCGGCTT